ATATACTCCTCGGATACACGCCAATCTAATCTTGGAAGGTTATAGTCTCCTATCACCATAATTTCATTAAACTGGTTGCGACAGATTCAATATGAGCAGTATAGACAGACGAATCCATACTAGGAGGAATGTATACTGTACCAATGCAATAATGTGACTTACCCACTAGCACAGCAACCCAAACCTCTTCCACGGTAGGGTTATTTATTGCAACTATTTGAGATTTGAACTCACTTTTCACTGCTATGAGTACTCCACCTCCGGACTTTTTAGAACTGTTGTCAGAACCACGATTAGTACGATACACTATGTAATTACCAGAAAATAGCTCCGAATCATTTATATCAGAATCTAAATTTGTTTCAGTTATAGCAATTATACTGTAAGACTCAGATATCACAGAAGTCAGAAATTCTTTTAATTTAGTTTTTAGACCACGGACATTTTGGTAAAATACTGTTAAGCTGTCCATTAACTCTGAACTATTTGATTTGTTTGCCGAAAATTTGTTGCCTTAGGTTGCCACGAGGGTTGCCTCCTAGGAAGGAATTCCTTGACAGCAGTTTCTTTTGGCCATAAATTCGGATCTAATAGCCCTTTTACAACGCTTTCTTTTATTCCAATCTTAAAAGAAGAAACATCTTCATTCTTATCCAAAACAAAGCATTTAACATAGGTAATTTCCAAATTGTCAGCCATATAATCAGTAATATCTTTTTCAGTTGTGGACGGATTGCATCGACCAATGTAGATCCACTGTCTCCGCTCTGCAGCAGAGAATGAACTAACATTGGAGGCAGTGCCCACAATTATTGTATTTTGAACAGACGTAGCAGATAGTGTAGTTTGCAGTTTTCCTACAGATTTTTCCTCCACATTACTACTAGTTTTAGTTTGTTCCTTACTTTGAATGTTTTGATTATTTTGAGGTGTTTGTTTACGCAAGTTTTCCATCTCAGGTGAGGTTTTTTTCGATATGCTTGACTTTTTAAGAACTTTGATCTCATCCTCCAATGTAGAAACCTTTTTAAGTAAATTTTTGTTATTTTTCTCGAGCAGATCTAACCTAGCGAGTACCTCTTGCATATCAGCTACATCAGAATTAGTCTGATAATTAATGGTACTCGGTCTTAGTTCTCTTGTTAAAACCGTCTTGAAGGCATCACATTCTTGAGATATTTGCCCAATTATGTCTGTCTTCATGTTTTCTAGAAAATTCTGCATAATATTATTGGGTACAGAGTTTTTATGATCACAAAATATTGCAGAACTATTTTCAGTGTTGTCCTTATTTATTTTTAGAACTGAATCAATGCAGTTGCAACATGCAAAAAGCATTGTTCTGGCCCTCATTTGAGTGACCTGTCCCTCCGAAATAGAAAATTTTGAACAGTTTAAGCAGTAGATACATTTACAGAAGTCGCAAATAATTTTGTACTTCATCTCCTTATCATTTAAAGGTTCTTTACACTTTGAACAGGACATGATTTAAACAGACTGGACTATAAATCCTTTCGTATTCAAAAACTTCCAAATTGACTGCACTATACCTAGTTGTTTATTTATCAGGTCGAGGCGAACACTTTATCAGTTTTTTGCTGCACTTTTTTTTTGAGATAAATGATGTTAATATCACGTTTAAAAGTATGTAATTACTATGAAAGTAGAAACCCGATTTAAAAACTAATATGCACAAATTTCTAAGCACTACTGGTTTTGGGTAATTGCAAAGTTTCAAAATTTTTAATGGGATATTTCACACCAAAATAAGGCAAAATCAGAGCGATTTAACAAACAGACTTTGAACAAACAACAGTCGGCACAGACTTATAAATGAATTAATTGAAAATACAGTCTCACACATTTTAAAGTTTTCCTGAGAAGCTGGTAAGGAAAAAATTTTGAAACTTTTTTGCATGTGAGAAAAAAGATTAGAGGCTCATTTTCCCAAAATTACAAATTTTTCCAGTAAAAAAATAGGATTTCGGAAAGATTTCGAAGGATTATTCACTGTGACAAGATTTCAGATTTAGAGCGATTTTAAGAGATTTCGGGTGATTTCAAAGGATTTCGGGTAAATTCGAAGGATTTCGGGTGATTTTGGAGAATTTCAGGTGATTTCGCAAAGATTTTAATTTGAGCAGACTATTACTTATCTTATAAGTGTATTCAAAAGTGTATTAGTATAAATTGAAAAACGGCCGCGTTGGCTAATTTATGAATTTTGAGCCAATTACGAGGAATTTTTGGGTTTACGGAAAGATTTTCTGAAAAATCCCGGAGAGATTTCGGAGTGATTTCGTGGATTTCGGACAAATTTGTGACACGATTTGTGATTAACCCCTTGAAGGTTTCATCAAAATTCTTTGGAATTTCACTAAAATTTTAAGTTATTCCATGGGAATTCCACGAAAATTTTAAGTAATTCCATAGAAATACCTTAACAATTTAAAGATTTTATGGAATTCTTGGAATTTTTTTTTTTCGGAATTACAGTATAGGATAGCATGAAATTCCTCGGAATTTCACTAAAATTTCAATTTCAAAATTCCATATTTTTTTTTTTTAACTTCACTAAAATTCCCCACTGAAATCCTGGAATTCCACAAAAATTCTTCGGAATTTCATTGACATTTTATGTAATTTCTTGAAAATTCCTCGGAATTTACTAAAATTTTATGAGAATATCTACGTTCATAGCCGAAAATTTCTCGAAAGTCCAATGAAACTTCAAGGAATTTTTCAAAATTTAATTTATTTTCATAAGAATTTTTTGGAATTTCACTGAAATTCTCTTTTGTTAGGAATTTCTGGGAATATTAATGAAGCTTCAAGTAATTTCTTAAAAATTCACCGAAATATATTAAAATTTCATGTCGTTACATGGGAATATCACCGAAATTCCATGTTTTTAGTTTGAAAGGTCATAACTTTTTTTCTATTATAGATAGAAAGCTGAAACTTTCACTGAATTTTATTCCAATCAAGGGATTACAATCCCTGAAAATTTCAGCTCATTTGCACTTATAGTTCCTGAGATAAAATTGTGTAAAGCAATTTGGGGTGATTCATCAATTTTTCAATGTTTCTGAGTGCTTTTTTTCATAGATTTCGGCTTCAAATCGAGAATAATTTAGTGTATGGAGTTTGGGGGATGTTAATTGACCATTAGGATACAAAATCTCAACAAAAAAAAAAATTGAAATTTCATCTTTTTAGTGAGACCTTATGATTTAGATTTTGGAAAACTTTGACAGGTCATAAATTTTTTTCTATTATAGATAGAAAGCTGAAACTTTCACTGAATTTTATTCCAATTAAGGGACTACAATCCCTGAAAACTTCAACTCAATTGGACTTATAGTTCCTGAAATAAAATCGTTTTAAACAATTTGGAATAATTTATAATTTTTTTCAAATTTTCTAATCTCAGAATTGTTCCAGAGAGTCTAGCGCCTGGAATAGACAAAAATTTGAAAGTTATAATAATGAAATATTAGCTTAAAAATGCTAGTTATAAATAGATAAGAATCAGTCTAGCCAAATGCCAACGTCGAAGAAGGGGAAAAAAAAAATTACAAAACTACCCAACAAAAATCGACATTTTCCTTCCATAAATAATACCAGAAATGATCCCTTACAATAATAGCCACAACAACCCCCTCTTGAACTTTCATCAATATATAAGAAATGAGCTCGAAATTGAGGAGATCTAATTCCAGTTCCCAATCAAATACAAGAATTTCCTGAATTTATTCTTTCCAAACATCTAAACTTATTTACACACCAGGGGTAACTTAATCTATTTTTGCACGAACATGTGTGTGTGTGTGTGGCACAAAAAAATCGATCCAAACTTTTGTCAACAACACAATTATTTATTTATCGGAGTTGGCTGATTAATATTAATCGATATAGATTAATATTAATTGAGTTTTCTAGGTCAATCTTAGGGTGGCTGCCCTTTTGGGAACACAAAGAAAATAGGAAATCGCCCCTTTATTTGGGAGTAAAAGAAAACAAGGTTTTTGCCAGAGGGGAATGGCCAATGGGTGATTCACTATAATATTATTTGCTTTGTATTGTAGGTATATGATGATTGACAATGTAATTTTTATATTGTTTTTATTATTGTTTCACCTTGTTGTAATTTAATTGGCATGAAATGTCTTGCCGATTTATTTTATACCGTTAACAAAGGAGACTTCGAAGAAATATCAGATCAAGAGGAGGAAGAGAGAGAATCATGTTTTGATCCGATTAGGATGTAATAAATAAATATATAGGAACAAATTGTTTTTGCTTTGTCATGGTAAAATGAGAAGTTTTTGGTGTCTGGGTCAAGATTTAAATTATTTGGTCTTTGAAATACATATATATCAAACTTTTTCCTTTTTCTTCAGTTTCTTACATATATTACACGAATCTCCAAATTTGTAACACCTTCTGTATCTATATAAAACGTTATTGTATATTATGTATAAATATGTATTTTTGAAGGGCCTAATTGTCCTTATTATTTCCGAATTCAGACTCTCAAAGAAAAGAGGCTCTTTTCCGTTTCTTTTTACAAAAGCAAATGATCAATTATAGGGTTTTAGGGGTAACAAATCGCTCAAAAAGGAGAAATTTATAACTGTAAAAAGTTACTTTACAATACAATCAATTCCTGAAAAACCCATAATTACTACAAACTTTTATAATTAATACCATATGGTTTATCTTACTATAATGATGACATTGACGAAGATAATCAAAACATAAAACTAATGAATGTTTTTTTTTTGTAACTTCAAGGGTGGTCTTTTTGAATAGTTTGTTTTTAGTTCAAATAAATTAATATATATCTGAGATTCTCGTTGCACCACCCAAAGAAGAAGAAGACAGAAAAAAAAAAAAGAAACGAAGAAGACGTCTCTCCGTTGTCGGGTACATTTGAGGGACTTTCCCCAGTCCCCACAAAGCGAGACCGTTTTTATTCAAGAATCGACATTCGTGCTGGCGAGACACACAAATTTCCAAGGAGGAAAATCTTTTCGCGCGAAACTTTTCATTCAGGTGTTTTTGTGTTGTATTTTGTGATTATATAAAATGTATTGTTTTACCACCAGGTAAGTTTCTTAATTAGTTTGGTTCTCATAATCATAAATCATAATTAAGCCAATGCAGATGAGATAACTGAGAGAGCGCATCATTAATGTTTTTTTTTTTGCAATTATTATTGCTGCAAGAAGGAAATGTCTAGAAATAAATTTTGCATTTTTTTTTAATAATTAAATGGCATTTGAGTTTGCACTTAAATAATTCAGGTAATTAGAATTTCTGCATTTTATCTCAACTAGAAGATTTTAAGTTTTGATGTAAACGCACCCGAAAAAAAAACTAATGCGAGTTTTCAACAATAATTGTATTGGCCCAATGCAAAAATGACCGCATTTACATCGGATATTTAATAATCACGAAACTCCTACGCTACGCAATTATTTTCAATAAAACCGTGACTTTTTTTTTTTTAAATCGAATTAAATTGCAAGTAATTTATATAAAACTGCAATTTATATTGAGGGAAATTTTGGCTGGGTGCCAAACTGAAGCGAAAATCCCCTATAGAACGAAATTAGTCCAAACAAGAGCCAAGTGAAGTCAAAAAATTATATATCATTGAAAAGAGCATTAAATTCTCTATAAACTTGTGCTAAAATGAGTTTGATAACTCAAATACTTTTTGAGCAATTGAGCCTCAAAGTTGAATTTTAGTGCAAATTTAGTCAAAAAAAAAAATACTAAGACATTTTAAAAGATTAATCAGAATCAAAATCTGTAGCGTAATCTTCTTGACATGTGCACTAGAGGTGGTAGATTTTTAGTTTCCATTGAGGCTAGTATTGGGATCTTCAATATGCAGTGTCATCTTCGTCGTCAAGGAAACTTTGACTGTCTTGAAGGGAAAGTGAGGCATAATTATCATCTTCATCTTCTGGTTGATAAGTCGAAGACTTTTGACTGATTGGTGTCAAAGCATTTTCTACCATTTCTTCAGGTGTTTTTCTAAGGTTAATCTTTCATGTAGTAGGTTTAATTTGTTATGGTTTATCATATTAAGTATTAGGAGGAGTGGGTTTGGTAGATGATAGTCTTGGTCTTTTTATGCTCTTTTCATCTCTCTCTGCGATCATCTGTGTAGCTTTCATTTGGTTTATTAAGTAAAGTTCGCCTTACGAGTCTAGCACTATGGAAAGAATGCGGTTAAAAAAATTGCAATATTGCCTATTTGACTTCCAATAGAAAATACCTTAATATTTATCTATGTTACACATCTACATTTATAAGGAAAAAGTAATATTTAAAAACGCTGCGCGCACGCCTATGACAGGCAACATAAAGCACGAAATGAATGGCGTTATTCCCCCTTGCCCTTCAGACGTCGTAGTGCTAGACTCGTAAGGCGAACTATACCTATACCTTTGTACTAAAATGATGAAATTTCAAATTTTTTATGTTGAGATTTTGTGTCTAAATGATTATTTGGGAACCCCCAACTTCCATACACTAAATAATTCTAAGATTTGAAGTCGAAATCTATGGAAAAAGGCACTCAGAAAAATCAGAAAACCGATGAATTACCCCAAATTGCTTAACGCGATTTTATTTCAGGAAATATAAATCCAAATGAGCTTTCTATCTCTGATGGCAAAAAAAGTTATGATTTTTCAAAGTTTTCAAAATACCAAAACATAAATTACTAAAACGATGAAATTTCAAATTTTTTTTTGTCAAGATTTTGTATCTTAATGATCAATCAACATCCTTCAAACTCCATACACTAAATTATTCTCAGATTTGAAGCCAAAATCTATGATAACGTGCAAATGAGCTGAAATTTTCAGGGATTGTAGTTGAAAGGGATAAAATTCAGTAAAAGTTTCAGCTTTCTATCTATAATACCTTTTAAAGTTTTCCAAAATCTAAATCATAAGGGGTGTACCGAGGGGGAAACCACCTACCAAAAATTATAAAATTCTAAAAAATGCTAATTATTGTCCCAAAAAATTCTAAAAATTCTAAAAAATTCTAAAAAGTCCCAACAAATTGGGCAGGCTCTTGAGCATGCGCAATAGATCTGATAATTCTGAAAAATTCTAAAAATTCTCTCAGTTTGTACAGGGTGATCTATTATAAATGTCGACCCTGCTAACTTTATCATTTGACGTTTTTGACAGAAGTGTCAACTGTCAAATACAAAAGTTTTGAGAAATTATCATTTTTTTTTTAACTAAGTTAGTTTTAGGCATACAGGGTGCGTCAAAAAAGTGCAGCAGTGTGAAGTTATATTTTCTTAAATGGAACACCCTGTATATTGTGCGCTTATTTGTTAGTCCCCTTACCAGTTCCAGCACCATACTAGATAATATGATTTCAACGATATACGGTTCGATATGTTTATCTCTCTGTTTATCTTCAATGGTTATAGGGAAAAACGCGAAAATCCCTTGCTAGTTCTCTTATGTTATTTTTTCAAAAATAATAATAATAACTGGATTTTTTATAATATAATATTTCACCTTGTATATTAATGAATAAAATTTGAACAAAAAACTGTTCATAAAAAAAATTCTCTAAAGCTTAAATGATATAATTTTTCTTTTTTCAATATGAAACCTTGAGTTTTCTTGTTTTTCCTTATAAATATCGAAGATTGACATCAAATCGTATATCGCACAATATGCAGGGTATTCCATTTAAAAAAATATAACTTCACACTGCTACACTTTTTTGACACACCCTGTATGTCTAAAACTGACTTGGTTAAAAACTTTCGACAATTTATTGAAACTTTTGTATTTGACACTTTTGTCAAAAATGTCAAATGAAAAAGTTAGAAGGGGGTGACATTTATAATAGATCCCCCTGTACACCAAAATTCTAAGAAGGTTTCCCGCTCGGGGGAACCCACCTACCTATTTTTTTACACCAAAAATAATAATTCAAAAATTTTGAGAAATTTTAAAAATTCAAAAAAATTTCCAAAAATCCCAACAGATTGCGCAGTGCGCGGGCTCTTAAGCATGCGCAATAGGTGAAAATTCTAAATTATTTCTAAAAAATTCTAATTCAATTCTAAACAATACTAAAAAATTCTAAATAATTCTAGAAAATGCTAGAAAATACTAAAAAATGCTAAAAAATACTGATAATTCTAAAAAATTCTATCAGTTTGTACACCAAAATTCTAAGGTGGTTTCCCCCTCGAGATGTACCTTCTTACTGAAACGATGAAATTTCAAATTTTTTTTTGTCGAGATTTTGTATCCTAATGGTCAATCAACATACCCCAAACTCCATACACTAAATTATTCTCAGATTTGAAGCCGAAATCTATGAGAAATGGTACTCAGAAAAATTGAAAAATCGATAAATCACCCCAAATTGCTTAACACAATTTTATCTCAGGAACTATAAGTGCAAATGAGCTGAAATTTTCAGGGATTGTAGTCCTTTGAAAGGGATAAAATTCAGTGAAAGTTTCAGCTTTCTATCTATAATAGAAAAACAGTTAAGACCTTTCAAATTTTTCCAAAATCCAAATCATAAGGTAGGTACCTTCTTACTGAAACGATGAAATTTCAAATTTTTTTTTGTCGAGATTTTGTATCCTAATGGTCAATCAACATACCCCAAACTCCATACACTAAATTATTCTCAGATTTGAAGCCGAAATCTATGAAAAAAGGCACTCAGAAAAATTGAAAAATTGATAAATCACCCCAAATTGCTTAACACAATTTTATCTCAGGAACTATAAGTGCAAATGAGCTGAAATTTTCAGGGATTGTAGTCCTTTGAAAGGGATAAAATTCAGTGAAAGTTTCAGCTTTCTATCTGTAATAGAAAAAAAGTTAAGACCTTTCAAATTTTTCCAAAATCCAAATCATAAGGTAGGTACCTTCTTACTGAAACGATGAAATTTCAAATTTTTTTTTGTCGAGATTTTGTATCCTAATGGTCAATCAACATACCCCAAACTCCATACACTAAATTATTCTCAGATTTGAAGCCGAAATCTATGAAAAAAGGCACTCAGAAAAATTGAAAAATCGATAAATCACCCCAAATTGCTTAACACAATTTTATCTCAGGAACTATAAGTGCAAATGAGCTGAAATTTTCAGGGATTGTAGTCCTTTGAAAGGGATAAAATTCAGTGAAAGTTTCAGCTTTCTATCTATAATAGAAAAAAAGTTAAGACCTTTCAAATTTTTCCAAAATCCAAATCATAAGGTAGGTACCTTCTTACTGAAACGATGAAATTTCAAATTTTTTTTTGTCGAGATTTTGTATCCTAATGGTCAATCAACATACCCCAAACTCCATACACTAAATTATTCTCAGATTTGAAGCCGAAATCTATGAGAAATGGTACTCAGAAAAATTGAAAAATCGATAAATCACCCCAAATTGCTTAACACAATTTTATCTCAGGAACTATAAGTGCAAATGAGCTGAAATTTTCAGGGATTGTAGTCCTTTGAAAGGGATAAAATTCAGTGAAAGTTTCAGCTTTCTATCTATAATAGAAAAAAAGTTAAGACCTTTCAAATTTTTCCAAAATCCAAATCATAAGGTAGGTACCTTCTTACTGAAACGATGAAATTTCAAATTTTTTTTTGTCGAGATTTTGTATCCTAATGGTCAATCAACATACCCCAAACTCCATACACTAAATTATTCTCAGATTTGAAGCCGAAATCTATGAGAAATGGTACTCAGAAAAATTGAAAAATCGATAAATCACCCCAAATTGCTTAACACAATTTTATCTCAGGAACTATAAGTGCAAATGAGCTGAAATTTTCAGGGATTGTAGTCCTTTGAAAGGGATAAAATTCAGTGAAAGTTTCAGCTTTCTATCTATAATAGAAAAAAAGTTAAGACCTTTCAAATTTTTCCAAAATCCAAATCATAAGGTAGGTACCTTCTTACTGAAACGATGAAATTTCAAATTTTTTTTTGTCGAGATTTTGTATCCTAATGGTCAATCAACATACCCCAAACTCCATACACTAAATTATTCTCAGATTTGAAGCCGAAATCTATGAGAAATGGTACTCAG